TTAAAACATTTCTTCTATAAATCAATAGTGTTTGCTCCATAAGGTGCTAGTTAGCTTCCATGGGTGTGTTTTTTTAATAATATTGTTTCATTTTAATTGTGATTTTAATGAAAGTTTACAGGAAAGTTAGATTTTCATTCATTAATTTTTGCACATTTTACCCCTCTTCCTCCTTCTACCCTACTTCAGTCCCCCAATATTTGTTCATTGTTGCACAATTACCTCCCTCCACCCTCACCTCAGTCCTCTTTGCAATGTACCTCTTATTCTGGGCTGTTGTTAACATATTGGTGGTGTTGTTTGTTGTTGATTGCCTGCGAGTCCAGCATGACTCATAGTGACCCTATGAATAAAATGCCTGAAGCCTTTCTATAACTATTGACAATTACATAATAACTGATTATATATTCCTTTCAAACAGTACTCTCCTTCATCTGTTCCAATGCAGTATTCATTATTCATCCCCTCTTTTCTTAGTTTCTCCCAACTCTGATGTCAGTCCTGTTTTATAACAGTGGTGTTATGCAGTATTGGTCCTTTTGTGACTGAGATATTTCACTCAGCATAATGTTCTTCAGGGTCACCCCTACATGGTTGGGTTTATAAACTTTACACTCTTACCCTTAATTTCTGGTTTATGGTATGTGGTCTGAGAAGATATGTTGTATTATTTCAACATTTTTAAATTTGTTGAAACTTGCTTTGCATGCTACATAAGATCAATTCTGGAAAAAGTATCATGTACACTTGAAAAGAAAGTATTGATTTTTAGTTGGGTGCGGTATCCTGAACATATCCGTGAGGCCTGGTTGGCTGATTGAATGGTTTAGTTTGTCCGTATCTTTGTTGCGTTTCTTTTGAGTTGGCCTACCCTTTGGTGAGAGTGGGTGTGTATTAAATCTCCTGCTACTAATGTGCTTTCTATTTCTTTCTTCAATTCTGTTAACAGGTGTCTTACATACTCTGCAGGTTTTGTTGCTTAGATATTGACCAAGATTATGTCTTCTTCCCCTCTCCCATTTTTTAAGGTTGTGAAAAGACTGTGTGGAACACAACAAACGGTGGCAGACTCTGAAAAGAATGGGAATACCAGAATACTTGATCTTGCTCTGTGAAACCTATACTTGGACCAGGAGACAGTAGTCAGAACAGAAAAAGGAAACACTGCATGGTTCAAAATTCAGAGGGGTGTACACAAAGAACTTGTCCTATCTCCATACTTTTCAATCTATATGCAGAACAGATTATCCAGGAGGCTGGGCTTTATAAGGAGGAATGTGGCACCAGGATTAGAGGAAGACTCATCAA